GCTGCAAGGAAGAGAGAGGTCTTAGAACAGAGACAGCCCATGAATGCTTGTAAATGAGGTAAAGCTGGGTTAGAGTGTGGTTTCCTTCCAAGCAGCGCCCATAAATAAATAAGCCACCCCAAAAGGCACACACCACTGTGGCACAAGGGTGCAGTTCTCTGAACACGGAAAGGGCTATGTGTTTGTCTGGACACCTCAGTGCAAAACAGCCAACACACGATCAGGAAGCAAAAATCTTCCCCGAGGGACAGAACGTTTTGCCTTTTTGTTAAAAAATTACTACTTTGGGAAGGCATTACAGCACTGGAAGCAGCTACAAAAAAATCTTTCTGCATAAAACTTCTTTCCTTTGAGACAGAATCCTTTCGGAGCGTTGAGAACTGCTACAACATGTTTTTTTGGGGGTAAGTCAATCACACCTGTAAGGTTGGTCAGGGAGAGGGCTAAGATGCCGCAGTCAAATGCACCCCAAAAGCTCTCTGCAGACTGGATGCCCAGGGGTCACTTCACCGCCCACTGCAAAGGTGCCGCCCTGGGGGTGGATCACGCTGGCTCTAACACAGCGTGCACAGGGCTGAGGATGCGAACATAAGCCTCCACTACCGGCTGATGTTCCCTACGCCTGAAAACGCACCCTGGGATCTTACATGACCGAGGCAGCTTTTTCCAAGAGTGCTACCAGTGGCCTAACGCCCTCTAGCTCCATCCCAGGGAATACACATAAGTACCAGCAGTACTCCAGTTACACAGCACTTTTGTGTAGAGGCAGTTACAGACTCAGACGCTGGGGTCAACTTATAGGACCCACGACTTGCTTTTTGCTGCCTTCTTTCCTAACAGATGAGTACGTGTCATTTTCCCAAAGCGCAAGCCCTTCCCACCCCATGAAGAAGGTGTATGCCTAGATACAGGGCAAGAACCCCGCACGATCCATTGCACTACAAAACCAGGCATGCCTCCGATGCAGCAGAGATCCCACTCTTCTCATCACATAACAGGGAATGGACTGTGATGCAAAACTCCTTTGGGATCAGGCCATGTGTCCCTCTCCTCCCAAAAACACAGGCTCCCAGTGCATCAGAGGCCTTTCCTGTAGCACCAGCCCAGCTGCGCCCACCTTAGCTGGGGACACAGGAAACATCCCGACAGTGGACACAGAGCAGCAATCAGAGATCCCACTCTTCTCATCACATAACAGGGAATGGACTGTGATGCAAAACTCCTTTGGGATCAGGCCATGTGTCCCTCTCCTCCCAAAAACACAGGCTCCCAGTGCATCAGAGGCCTTTCCTGTAGCACCAGCCCAGCTGCGCCCACCTTAGCGGGGGACACAGGAAACATCCCGACAGTAGACACAGAGCAGCAACAGGGTTAGAAATGGATCAAGGCAAAGTGAGTCAGAGAGTCACTCAAAGGAGAGTAGCCAGCGGCCTGCTAAGAGGGATCACAGGGTAGTTTGTGTACACGTGTCTTCAGCTGCAGAGCTGCACCTACCCCATCTGCAAAAGGAAATCTGAAAGAGCCAAAGGACAGACTCTAAGAAAAAAAAAGTCATACCTGCGGTCTTTTGTACGCTTTTCGAACCCTCAGTCCCAGCTTCTGGGCAAGCTCCTGTCCCAGCTGCGTGACGCTTTCATCCTGGGGAAAAAACAGTTGGCAGGCCACTTTCAGTTTTGCCCTCGTGACACACGGAATGACACAAACAGGAATGCAGTTATCCACGCCAGGCTGTGCCAAGAAGCCTCCCTAGTAGATAGCAGCAAGTGGACCATTGCCAGAGCAGCCCTAGGAGTATCCGTGCAGACCTTGGTCCTGCTGAGATACTGAGGTTGCACCAGGACCTCCCCCCACACTCTTT